CAGGATGGTCTCAATCTTTCGACCTCATGATCCACCTGCCTCAGTCTCCGAAAGTGCTGGGATTACAGGCATACGCCACTGTGCCTGGCTGATTTGTTTTTTTTTTTTTTAAAAATTTGGTGGTAATATATAAGAATGAGATAGGAAAATAATAAATTTTATGTCCTCCAAATTACATTTATTTTTTTTTTTTTTTCTTACTGATTTGTTTGAGTTGGTTGTAGATTCTAGATATTAATCCTTTGTCAGATACATAGATTGTGAAGATTTTCTCCCACTCTGTAGGTTGTGTTTACTCTGCTGACTGTTCGTTTTTCCATGGAAAAGCTCTTTAGCTTAAGTAGGTCCCAGCTATACTTTGTTTTAATTTCATGTGGTTTTGAGTTCTTGGTTATGAAATCTTTGCCTAAGCCAACATGTAGATGGGTTTTTCCAGCGTTATCTTCTAGAATTTTTATAGTTTCAGGTCTTAGGTTTAAGTCTTTAATCCACCTTGAGTTGATTTTTGTATAAGGTGACAACCGAGGATCCAATTTCATTCTCCTACATGTGGCTAGCCAATTATCCCAGTACCATTTGTTGAAAAGGTGTTCTGCGTTCTCTATTCTGTTCCATGGGTCTCTGTGTCTATTTTTATACCAGTACCACACTGTTTTAGTGACAATGGCCTTATAGTGTAGTTTGAAATCAGGTAGTGTGATGCCTCCAGATTTGTTGTTTTTGCTTAGCCTTGCCTTGGCTATGTGGGCTCTTTTTTGTTTCCATATGAATTTTAGAATTGTTTTTTTCCAATTCTGTGAAGAATGATAGTGGTATTTTGATGGGAATTGCATTGAATTTGTAGATTGCTTTTGACAGTATGGTCATTTTCACAATATTGATTGTGCCCATCCATGAGCATGGATTGTGTTTCCATTTGTTCTTGTCATCTACAATTTCTTTCAGCACTGTTTTGTAGTTTTCCTTGTATAGGTCTTCTGAAAGACGTAACTCATTGGTTAGGTATATTCCTAAGTATTTTATTTTATTTTTGCAGCTGTTATTAAAGGGGTTGAGTTCTTGATTTGATTCTTCACTTGGTTGCTGTTGGTGTATAGAAGAGCTACTGATTTGTGTACATTAATCTTGTATCTAGAAGCTTTGCTGACTTCTTTTATCAGTTCTAGGAGCTTTCTGGAGGAGTCCTTAGAGTTTTCAAGGTAAATGATCATATCGTCAGCAAACAGTGATAGATTGACTTCCTTTTTACTGATTTTATGCCCTTTCTTTCTCTTGTCTGATTGCTCTGGTTAGGACTTGTAGTACTATGTTGAAGAGGCGTGGTGAGAGTGGGCATCCTTCTCTTGTTCCAGTTCTCAGAGGGAATGCTTTCAAGCTTCCAACTTTTCTCCATTCGGTATTGTGTTGGCTGTGAGTTTGTCATAGATGGCTTTTATTACATTAAGGTATGTCCATTGTATGCCAGTTTTGCTGAGAGTTTTGATCATAAAGGATGCTGGATTTTGTCGAATGATTTTTCTGCATCTATTGAGATGATCATGTAATTTTTGTGTTTAATTCTGTTTATGTGGTATCTCATATTCATTGACCTGTGTATGTTAAACCACCCCTGCATCCCTGGTATGAAACCCACTTGATCATGGTGGATTATCTTTTTGATATGTCATTGGATTCAGTTACTGGTATTTTGTTAAGGACCTTAGCATCTATATTCATCAAGGATATTAGTCTGTAGTTTTCTTTTTTGGTTATTTCCTTTCCTGATTTAAGTATTAGGGTGATACTGGTTTCTAGAATAAATTAGGGAAAGTTCCTTCTTTCTTTATCTTGTGGATTAGGGTCAAAAGGTTTGGTACCAATTCTTTGAATGTCTGGTAGAATTCTACTGAATTCATCTGGTCCTGGACTGGACTTTGGTAGTAGTTTTTAAATTACCATTTCAATCTCACTGTTCATTATTGGTCTGTTCGGGGTATCTAATTCTTCCTGATTTAAGCCAGGAGCATTGTATTTTTCCAGGAATTTATTCATCTCTTCTAGGTTTTCTAGTTTATGTGTGTAAAGATGTTCATAGCAGCCTTGAGTGATCTTTTGTATTTCAGTGTTGTCAGTTGTAATGTTTCCTGTTGCGTTTCTTAGTGAGGTTATTTGGATTTTCTCTCTTCTTTTCTTGGTTAATCGTGCTAATGGTCTGTCAATTTCATTTATGTTTTCTAAGAACTATCTTTTTTTCGAGATGAAGTCTTGCTTTGTCATCCAGGCTGGAGTGCAGTGGCGCAATCTTGGCTCACTGCAGCCTCCACCTCTTGGGTTCAAGCAATTCTACTGCCTCAGCTTCCCAGAACCAGCTTTTTGTTTCATTTATCTTTTGTATTTTTGTTGTTTTCATTTCAATTTCATTTAGTTCTGCACTGATCTTGGTTATTTTATTTCTTCTGTTGGGTTTGGGTTTGGTTTGTTTTTGTTTCTGTAGTTCTTTGAGGTGTGACCTTATCAGTTTGTGCTCTTTCAGTCTTTGATGTACGTACTTAGGGCTATGAACTTCTCTTAGCACTGCCTTTGCTGTATCACAGAGGTTTTGATAGGTTATATCATTATTGTCATTCAGTTGTAAGAATTTTTTAATTTCCATCTTGATTTCTTTTTTGACCTAGTGCTCATTCAGGAGCAGGTTAATTTCCATGTATTTGCATGGTTTTGAAGGTTCCTTTTGGAGTTGAATTCCAGTTTTATTCCGCTGTGGTCTGAAGGAGTGCTTGATATAATTTCAATTTTCTTAATTTATTGAGGCTCGTTTTATGGCCTATCATATGGTCTATCTTGGAGAAAGCTCCATGTGCTGTTGAATAGAATGTCTTCTGCGGTTGTTGGTTGAAGTGTTATGTATGTATCTGTTAAGTCCATATGTTCCAAGGTAGCATTTAAATCCATTCTTTGTTGACTTGCTCTCTTGATGACCAGTCTAGGGCTGTCAGTGGAGTATTGAAGTCCTCCAGTATTATTGTGTTGCTATCTCATTGCTTAGGTCTATTAGCAATTGTTTTATAAGTTTGGAAGCTCCAGTGTTAGTGCGTATATGTTTAGGATTGTGATATTTTCCTGTTAGACAAGGCCTTTTACCATTATATAATGTCACTCTTTGTCTCTTTTAACTGCTGTTGCTTTAAAGTTTGTTTTGTCTGATGTAAGAATAACTACCTCTGCTGGCTTTTGGTGTCCATTTGCATGAAATGCCTTTTTCCACAGTTTTAGGTGAGTCTCCGGAAGGCAGCAGAGATTTGGTTGTTGAGTTCTTATCCATACTATGGTCCTGTATCTTTTAAGTGGAGCATTTAGGCCATTCATTTACATTCAATGTTAGTATTGAAATGTAAGGTACCATTGCATTCATCTTGATCTTTGTTATCTTTATACTTTGGTTTTGTTTTTGCTTTGTAATGTATATTTTTGTTTTTATAGGTCCTGTGTGATATATTCTTTAAAGAGGTTCTGTTTTGCAGTGTTTCCAGGATTTGTTTCAAGAGTTAGAGTTCCTTTTAGCATTCTTGTAGTGGCGGCTTGGTAATGGTGGATTCTCTCAGCATTTGTTTGTCTGAAAAAGATTGTATATTTCCTTCATATGTGATGCTTAGTTTCACTGGATACAAAATTCTTGGTTAATAATTGTTTTGTTTGAGGAGGCTAAAGATAGGGCCCCAGTTCCTTCTAGCTTGTAGAGTTTCTGCTGAGAAATCTGCTGTTAATCTGTTGGGTTATCCTTTATAGGTTACCTAGTGTTTCTGTCTCACAGCTCTTAAGATTTTTTCCTTAGTTTTTAACTTTGGATAACCTGATGACAGTGTACCTAGGTGATGATCTTTTTATAATGAATTTCTCAGGTGTTCTTTGTGCTTCTTGTTTTTGGATGTCTAGGTCTCTAGCAGGGCTGGGGAAGTTTTCTGTGATTATTCCCCCAGATACGTTTTCCAAGCCTTTAGAATTATCTTCTTCCTCAGGAATACTGATTGTTCTTAGGTTTGCTCATTTAACATAATCCCAGACTTCTTGGAGGCTTGTCCTTATTTCCTTATTCCTTTTTCTTTGTCTTTGTTGGATTAGGTTAATTCGAAGACCTTGTCTTCGATCTCTGAATTTCTTTTTCTTCTGCTTGTTCAGTTCTATTGCTGAGACTTTCCAGAGCATTTTGCATTTCTAAAAGTGTGTCCAAAGTTTCCTAAATTTTTGATTGTTTTTTCTTTAAGCTATGTATTTCCTTGAATATTTCTCCCTTCACTTTTTCTGTTTTTTGTTGTTGTTGTTGTTGTTGTTTGTTTGTTTGTTTTGTTTTTTATTTCCTTGCATTGGGCTTTGCGTTTCTCTGGTCCCTCCTTGATCAGCTTAATAACAGACCTCTTGGATTCCCCCCTCCCCCCCCCCAGGTAAATCAGGGATTTCTTCATGGTTTGCATCCGTTGCTGGTGAACTAGTGTGACTTTTTGGGGAGTGTTGAAGAGACTTATTTTGTCATATTACTAGGGTTGGTTTTCTGGTTCCTTCTTATTTGGGTAGGCTCTGTCAGAGGGAAGGTTTAGAGCTGAAGGCTGTTGTTCAGATTCTTTTGTCCTACAGGGTATTCCCTTGACATAGCACTCTCTCCCTTTTCCTGTGGGTGTGACTTCCTGTGAGCCAAACTACTTGATTGTTGTCTCTTTTCTGAGTCTAGCCACCCAGTGATTCTGCCTGGCTCTGGGTACTGGGAGTTGTCTGCCCAGAATCCTGTGATGTGAACCATCTATGGGTCTCTCAACTGTGGATACCAGTGCCTGTTCTGGTGGAGGTGGCAGAAGGTACAGTGGACTCTGTGAGGGGTCCATAGTTTTGGTGGTTTAATGCTCTATTTTTGTGCTGGTTGGCCTCTTGCCAGGAAGTGGTACTTTGCAGAAAGCATCAGCTGTAGTAGTGTGGAGAGGGACCACTGGTAGGTGGGGCCCTAGAACTCCCAAGATTGTATGACCTTTGTTTTCCACTACCAGGGTGGGTAGGGAAGGACCATTGGGTGGGGGTCAGGCATGTCTGAGCTCAGACTCTCCTTGGTGGGTCCTGTTGTGGCTGCTGTGAGGGATGGGGTGAGATTCCCAGGTCACTGAAGTTGTGTACTTAGGGCAATTATGGCTGCCTCTGCTGAGTCATGCAGGTTGTCAGGGAAGTGGGGGAAAGCCGGCAGTCACAGGCCTCACCCAGCTTTTACACAAACAGAAGGACCAAATCTCACTCTCACTGTGCCCCCTCACCAGCAGCCCTGAGTTTGTTTCCAGGGGGAGGGCAAGACAGGCTTGAAACTCTGCCCCAGGCTACTCACCTCCCAGCTGCAAACTAAAAGGGCCTTTGGAGTCTGCACATAGGATTTGCGTCCTCCCCCACACCGAGTTCTGGCCAGGAGGCTTCTCACCCCATTCAAAATTGTCACAGAATTTAGCTAGAGAATTCCTTCTCCCTGTGGGGTTTTACCCCCTGCTCCTCAGGCCACCCTCCAGATGTGTCCCTGTGGTGCCAGGCAGGAATGGGATGCTTGGAGACCCAGCAAGCTCCCAGGGCCTTTCTGCTGCTCCCTCTACCCCTGTATTTCACCCGCCTGTCCATATTGAGTCAACTCCAGGTAAAGTCAGAAACTTGCCCCGCAAACAGACCTTCAGCTTCCCCAGTGGAGGTGAGTGTTCAGAAGAGGGTCTGCCTTTCCCACTTCCGCAGTTGGGGCACTCACAGTATTTGCAGTATCTCCCGGGTCCTGCAAGAGCAGTCCACTTCCTTCAGAGGGTCTGAGATTGCTGGTTTGTTCTTGCAGTTGATCTGGAGCTAAAATTCACAATGTGAGCCTCTGCAGCTCTAATCCAGGCCTGCCTCCCATCGCCATGCTGATCTCTCCCACTCAATCAGTTTCCTGGGTCTTGATCTAAAATGTGCATCAGGGAAGCTCACTGACTAAGTAAATAAAGAGATTCTATAAAAGAAACTTTAATGCATTCATCAACATTTCCTGCAAGGTCACATATTACAGGTAAACAGTTTAGATTTTTGTTTGTGATTCGGAAACCTAGCACGAGTGACTCCATTTTGAGTTTCTCTGTTGGGTGTAGTGCAGCAACCAAGTCTAAATCAGTGGCTTTTCATAATTTTATTTAATAATGCTATATGATCAAAGCTACAGGTAGGAAAAATAGTGGTTCTAAATGTTATGAAACAAAGAGAATATAAACAAATGGGCTAAGTGTTCAATCCAGAAAGGCAGGAAGAAGTTAGCAAAATGCAGAAAGGAGTTGATACTGAAGTGGAAAATGATGAAGTTGATCACGGTTCTTCTGAAAGAAAGAAAATACAATTGACAACTTATATCAAAGACTGTTATTTATAAAAATTAGTAAAACAGTTGTTGATTGGCACATCTAACCCTGAGAAAATATTTACACATATTCAAGACAGAATGAAAAAGGTGATAAAAACCACAGTGATACATAAAAGTAGCATATTAAATTTGAAAATCAAAATGACACTTTTGACTTTCTCAAAATATAGTAAATTGTCTTAAGACATGTGGACATATAAGTGTGAAAGAAATTCCCAAATAATTGTAGCCAACAAGGCACTAGAAATAGATGGCTTTAGAAGCTACATACAAGAAATAGAATATTCCTATACTATTTAAGCTACTATAAGATGACAAGTATGGGAAACTTCACATTCTTTCTGTAAGTGAAACCTAGCTGCTGTGGATATAGAACTGCCCAATAATATTGAAATGCTGAATGTGTCTGGATACCAAAAGCACAGAAACAATACAAGAGGAAATAATTTTAGACCAGTTACAAGTAAAATTAAAGATGTAGAACTCCTAAATAAAATGTTAGCAAATCAAACCCAGGAGTGACTAGAACATGGAACCAAGTACTGTTTATTCCTAGATTATAGAGAAATTGAATACTTAGAAGTTTATTACTTTTATTTGCTGTATTAGGTGAAAAAATATCTTGAAGGATGATGAAAACTATTTGATAAAATTTAATATCCATTCCTAATTTAAAAAATAGAACCCTAAGAAACTAAAAGTAGGTAAATATTTTGTGTGCAAAATAAAGTATTAATAGCAAACATCATATTAATGGTGAAACGTTAGATCATATATTGTCAGTAGTTCTTGAGCGGACAAAATAAATCTTGACATATAAAATAAAGATATATAGTGTATAATACAGATACATAGTATATTTATGGTATTCATAAAATTTAGAGCAATTAGGGAAAGAAACCTAAAAGACTCTTGGGGGCACTAATGACAAACAATTTGGGAAACACTGCTCTAGAGCATTCCTTATTAGTTACAGATAAGACAGAGATGCTTGCTAGTACCACTTTTACTCAGCAGTGTTTTGAAAAGGACAGCAAACTCAATGCCAGTTAAATAAATGGCATAAACCTTGAAGAGTAAGAGCCATAATTACAGTACATGAAGATAGTAAGATTTTCTACATAAGAAACATTAAAAGAGCAATTGAAAAATGATTTCAGGAGAGAGATTCAGTAACTTGACTGATTTCAAGATATTGTATGTTATGTGAAGTTCCCAAGAACAGAGCTGAATAATTTATTGACAGTCATAAAAAATGGTTTGAATAAGTGAGAGGATTTAATGTTGTAGCTATTTTAAGTATCCTGAAATTATCTTGCAATTGATACATTTCATACATTCATTTAACAAATGTGTTGAAAACCAGTTGCATGCCAGATACTGTTCTGAATGTTGGGTGTACATCGGTGTATGGAACAGGTAAGAACTCCTTTCCTCTAACTTACATTATTGTGGTTAGAGCTAGACAGTAAACAGAGAAGTGTAAGTATGTAATATGTGAGGGTGGTGACAGTTCCCATCAAAATTCCAGGCAGATTATTTTTAGACGCTGACAAAATATTTTAAAGCTCATATGGAGCAGTATCTGTGAGAGAATGAGAGAAGTTCTGATAGATTGTCCTATTCAATACTGAAATATAATATAGAATTCAAATCACTGGTACAGGTGCAAGATAGGGCAGTGGGAGAAAATATAGAGAGGGTCAGGAAACATTCAGGAGAAAAGGAGAATTTTTGTCTAAAATAATTAAAATTGAGATTTCAGATTAGTGGAAAAGTGAATTTAGTGAATTGTGTGTATCAGCTGGGTATTCAGTAATCCAAAAAAGATTTCAACTAGCCAAACAACTAAGTCATAAAAACAGATAACATTTAAAGTACCAGAAACAGGACTTTGAAAGCATGACCCTAGAAGTAGCAGAGAAAAGGTCAATATAACATAAAAAGATTCAATATTTCCCAAGGGCAAAGAGCACCAAAAACGATGTGAAAAGTCACATGATAAACTGAGGAAGATATTTACAGTACATGTAATGGACAGAGGGTTGATGTTCTTGCCAGAGATCTTAAAATAAAATAAAAAAAATAAACTTAATAAAAAGATGCAAGGGACATAAAATGGAATTTACACACAGTGCAAGTTGAAATCTTTTTTTTTTCTTTTTTTTTGGCCTGGCAGAATGCTACAGATAAAACAGATTGCTAATACTCAAATGTTGCTTGTGGACTGGAGTGTTCATGCAGCTTTCTGCAGGCCAGTTTGAGAATATTTATTAGGATTTTAAATGTGCCTTCATTGACCAGCACTTCACCTCCGAATTTAATGCAAGAAAATAATTGGGTAAATAGGCAAAACTATTTTGTACAAAAATGTTCATTTTTTCATAATAGCAAAAAATTGGAAATCATCTAAATTGTCATTTGTGTTATAACTCTATACATTGGAAAACTGATCAGCCATGAAAATGATGTAAGCATGTTTCACCAACATGGAAAGATGCCTGTTACATATTTTATGTGTGAAGATGAGGTTGTAAAATATGTGCCTAGTATGCTATATTTCATAAGACATGTGGCACTGTATCTTCATATATGCCGATTGATGAAGATGGTATCAGTGTATATACCAAAGAGATTAAAAGTGGTTATCTGAGTGATGATTTTGTCTTCACAGTGTTTAGAATACTAAAAAGTTTCTGCAGTGGAATGCCTACTCTTTTAAAAACCAGAGTTGAAAGAGGGAAGCCTTTTTTGAGAGGGTTGGAGGGAAGGTAAGAAAGGGCGTGGGGATGCCCTTCTGTGGCCCCAGGCCTAGGGCCGCAGAACCCAGAACAGAACCCGGAACCCGAGTGCCTGCCCTGTTGGGGGCCGTAGGGAGGGCAGCGCAGCGGACCCAAGTGGACCGGAAGGGAGCGTGACGTGTGGCATCCTCCTCAGAGAGCCCAGCGTTGCCTTCGCCAACATCATGAAGTTTCGCGCCAAGATCATCGGCAAGGGCTCTCTAGACCTGTTCATCCAAGTCAGCAGCACCGTGGCGAGGCTGGTGAAGGTCTGCGTGCTCCGCGTGTGCCCTGACAGGATCTGTTTCGGCTCCGCAGGCTCAGGCGGCCTTCAGGAGGCCAGGCTGTGGTGCGAGGTGCAGCAGCGGGCCTTCCAGCATTTTCGCATGGAAGGTGTCTCGGAAGAACTCAATGAGATCCATTTGGAGCTGATGGCGGAGCACCTGTCCAGGGCAGCGAGAAGCGCGGTGGGCGCGTCCTCACTGAAGCTGCAGCTTACCCACAAGCGCTGCCCCTGCCTCACGGTGGTGGTGGAGCTGGCCTCACCCCTGGGCCGTGTTCGCAGCGTGATGCACGATCTGCCCGTGCGGGTGCTTCCCAGAAGAGTGTGGCGAGACTGCCTGCCGCCCAGCCTGAACGCCTCGGATGTGAGCATCTACCTGCCGCGCTGGAGGATGCTGAGGAGCATCGTGGAGAGGATGGTGAACGTGGGCGATCACGTGCTGCTGGAAGCAAACCTCAGTGGCAAGATGACCCTGAGTATAGAGACGGAGGTGGTGTCTATTAAAAGTTATTTTAAAAATCTTGGAAACCCTCCAAAGTCGGCTGTTGGTGTGCCTCAAAACAGAGACCTGGAGAGCATGGTGCAAGTGCGGGTAGATAATCGTAAGCTTCTGCAGTTTTTGGAGGGACAGCAAATAAATCCTCCGACGGCTTTATGCAATATTTGGGACAATGCTCTTCTTCACCTTGTTTTGGTTCAAGAAGATGTCTCTCTTCAGTATTTCATTCCTGCCTTGTAAAAATTCAGCCAGCTTAGATTTGTTTTTTAAGCTTAAGAACTTTTCAAAACTGAAACAGACCGAGTTAATTGGTTTGAAAGTTTGTACCTTCTCTGACTTAATGCTAGGCGTAGATTTTATTGAGCCCTTCCTCCTTTGCAAAATTTATATTAAAGCATTGATAAAACAGTTGGGTAGTTTATCTTTTTGTTTTTTGACTTTGTCAGTTTTTTTCATGCTTAACACTCTAACAAGAAAATTATTCTTCAACTCTTTGTTGGGGGAGGGGGAAGAAGGTTGTAATGAAATAAATATTTTTGAATACTGAAACAGTTGCCTCAGTATTTTTATTATAAAATGCTACTGTGTAAAGCGGGAACGTTCTCCTTTAAAAATATGTATAAACGTTTTCCTTTAGAGAATCACTTTCCGTGGCAGCTATAGACATAGAAAATTTATTTCTGAAATAAGATTTGCAAGACAAAATTACTCCATGATCCATGGACTGCGGAATGGATATTGTTAGCAGTCATGAAAACTTTCATTTCCTTTTGTATCTCCACCAGAACTCTTGGGTGACCAGGTGCATTGTCAATAAGCAGTAATATTCTGAAAGAAATCTTTTTTTCTAAGGATTAGGTTTAAACAATGAGCTTACATTATGCAATAAAAACTATGCTGTAAACAGATGTGCTGTCATCTAGGCTTTGTTGTTCTATTGATAGAACACAGGCAGAGTAGATTTATCATAATTCTTCAGAGCCCTAGGATTTTCAGAATGGTAAGTGAGCGTTGGCTTCAACTGAAAGTCACCAGCTACATTAGCCCCTAACAACAGAGTCAGCCTGTCCTTGAAGCTTTGAAGCCAGGAATTGACTTCTCCTCTCTAGCTATGAAAGTCCTAGATGGCATCTTCTTCCAATTGAAGGCTGTTTGTCTTCATTGAAATCTGTTGTTGAGTGTAGCCACCTTCTTCAGTGATCTTATAATAGCTAGATATTCTGGATAACTTGCTGCAGCTTCCGCATAAGTACTTGCTGTTTCACCTTGCATTTTTATGGTCAGGAAATAGCTTCTTTCCGTAAACCTTATGAACCATCCTCTAACTCAGCCTTTTCTTTTGCAGTTTCCTCACTTCTCCAAGCCTTTATAGCATTGAAGAAAGTTAGGGCTTTACACGGGGTTAGGTTTTGGCTTAAGGGAATATTGTGGTTTGTTTGATCTTCGATCTAGACCACTTACACTTTCTCCATATCAGCAGTAAGGCCGTTTTGTTTCTTATCATTCATGTGTTCACTGGAGGTGCACTTTGAATTTCTATCAATAACTTTTCCTTTGTGTTCACAACTTGGCTGTTTGCCACACGAAGGCCTGGCTTTAGGCTGTCACATCATTCGACATGGCTTCCTTACTAAGCTGAATCATTCCTAGCTTTTGATATGAAGTGAGAGATTTGAAACTCCTGCTTTCACTTGAGCACTTAGAGGCCATTGTAGGGTTATGAGTTGACCTACTTTCAATATTGTTATATTTTAGGGAATAGGGAGACCTGAGGAGAGGGAGGGAGAATGCTGGTTGGTGGAGTAGTCACACACACATTTATCAATTGAGTTCCCTGTCTCATATGAGCATGGTTTGTGGTGTCCCAAAATAGTTAAAATAGTAACATCAAAGAACACTGATCACAGTTCACCATGACAGATATAATGATAATGAGTAAGTTTGAGATAATGCAAGAATTACAAAATGTGAAATGGAGTGTCATGGAGAGACATGAAGTGAGCACATGCTTTTAGAAAAATGGCACTGATAGGCTTGCTTGATGCAGGTTTGCCACAAACCTTCAATTTGTAAAATATGCAGTATCTGACTAGTACAGTAAAGTGAAGCACAGTAAAAGGAGGTAAAGTCAAGTTCATGTTAACCAAAATGTTGCTTTAAGGGTAATTTTTGGATAAATCAGATCTCTGTTCCTCCTCTCTCCCCCCCGCCCCTTCCCAGTATTCCAGTACTTCTCTTAGAAAATAATTCTTAATGTTTCACTGTTTAGAGAAAAAGGAGGAGAGGTTATAAAAGGATGGTATAACAATGAACAGTCTCAGGGGGAGGAATAGCTCATATTCTTTTATATTAAATTTTAGTTTAGTGTTTTAGTGGCTTATGCAGTAAGATAAGCCATTAACTTGGGAACCTGTATATTTGCATACTTAGTACATTGCCATGACTACATTTTTATCAGTAATGAAAAGTTTCCTGCTAGATTTGGTCATGAAACACTTGAACCTGTTAATTTATTTTTTTTGATGATTTCTAAATTCCACCTGTGGTGGTGTGGAAAGAACACACAAACGTTGGACCCAGGCAAGTCACTTGAACCCTCTGGCTTATTAAGATCTGTTTCCGTTGGACTAGATTCTGATTTAATGCTATTAAAGTTGTAACATGGGAAATTTAAACAGTTGTTTTCAAAAGTATTTCAGAAGTAGTTTTAAAAAATTATTAATAACCACTGGAGATATAGTGTAAGCTCTGTGAAACTGCTTTCTAACTTCTGAGTTACGTACAAAAATGTGGGAATATTTAATTTGGTGAGTATTTTCAGAGCTGGTTGTGAAGATTTTTAATAAAGGCATTTTTTGGTTCATTTAAAAAAATCTGCCCTTATTTGCGCTTTGTAGACTACAGATTAGTAGGCTTTATTTTTTATTATATTTTATTTTTTTGAGACAAGGTCTCACTCTCTTGCCCAGGCTGGAGTGCAGTAGCACGATCTCAGCTCACCCTAACCTCCTCCTCCTCAGTTCAAGTGATTCTTGTGCCTTAGCTTCCCGAGTATCTGGGATTACAGGCACCCACCACCGTGCCCGGCTAATTTTTTTATTCTTATTAGAGACAAGGTTTTACCATGTAGGCCAGGCTAGTCTCAAACTCCTGACCTTAGGTGATCTGCCCATCTCAGCCTCCCAGTGTGCTGGGATTACAGACGTGAGCCAGGCCTTTTGTAGACTTTAAATGTAAGATAAAAATGGAGAATATATCCCTTACTACAAGTGAGGAAATTACAAGATCTGCAGGTTTTGATTGATACAACACAGAAATTCTTTGTCAGGTTTATTTCAGGCATCTCTTCCAAATTTTTTCCTTTTTTAGTAACATTAAGTGAGTTTTTTCAAGCTATAATAAAATATTTTTTACTGGTTTCATACTCGGTTCTTCTTTCCTGCAGTTGTCTGTCTCTAGTTCTGTTGCTTCCTCTTTATGTACTTAATAAAACCAAGAGAAATGAAAAATGTTATGGTTTGTTTTGGAACATAAATAATTGTACAGTCTAATATTTGATGAATTATTGTGGTTTACTTTTAGTAATTCATTAACAAGGACATCTATCAAAAGTTTTATAGCCTAATTTGTAATGTAGCTTTTGGAAATGAAAAAGATAATTTATTCTTCTACTTAGGTTATTCCCTAATTTGCAGAGATATGTTGCCCATGATATTAAGGAAAATCAATAGGTCTTCTAAACATAATGTTTAATATTGTCTAATTATATATTAAAAACATTTTATAATACAGAAATTTAAAAATGAATAGCTTGCTATTATAATTTTTAGTTTAATTGTGAAAAACTAGAGAGTGCCTGTTTCTGTAGTTATGCATTAGTTGCTGAATTTAAAACTTTGTAAAGGACTCTTATAGGAACAAGAGCTCAAAGGTGCCTTAGAGCTGATCTCATCCAATCACCATGTTTATAGATGAGAAAAGTTTCGCAGTGCATAAAAGTCAACAAGTGTTTTTATTTCCTAATGCCAGAACTCAGTTTAGAACCCAGTCTCCAGATTGTTCATAAATGTTTCACGAGACTTACAGCTTGGATATACTTTTGTTCATTACAATAAATCTAGAGTACCATGTGAATGTTTTACTTAACCTTAAAAGATAACAGTTAAATTTAAAAATCTCAAACCTTTTGGAAAGGCATTGTCATATTGTCCTTGCTTGAAGCTGTCTTTTGCTCTTGCAGGCAGAAAGGAATTTATTTGCCACACAAAATGATAATTCAATGAAAATAAAGTCTCACATTTAAAAAATCAAGGCCTCAAGTTTACAAATTATTTAAGCCTCTTCCATTGTTTCTCATAGGGAGACTACTGAGAAGTAATAAGACACTATGCATTTTATGTTTCACTGTATCTATAGAAAATAAATCATAGGAAAATGTATTAAAGTGCTTTCTTTATATCCAGAATTTATTGTCCCACTAGATCCCACTTGCTGAAAGCTAAACTGGCTTATTCATGACAGTCTTGTACTTTTAAAAAATTCTACTGCTAAAAAGAAATTGCTCTTGAGTGTGTATTTATTCAATGAATAGGTTGCCATTATCAAGAGAAATCAGACAAGTGTTTCTGACCTGGTTAATTTCTATAAGGACCCTCCTAGTTCTGGTTATCCCCATTTGTTAACAGGAGTTGAAAACACATCAGAATTATGATTGATCCTTCCCTTCCCTTCCCTTCCCTTCCCTTCCCTTCCCTTCCCTTCCCTTCCCTTCCCTTCCCTTCCCTTCCCCTTCTTCCCTTCTTCCCTTCTTCCCTTCTTCCCTTCTTCCCTTCTTCCCTTCTTCCCTTCTTCCCTTCTTCCCTTCTTCCCTTCTTCCCTTCTTCCCCTCTCTCCTTCCTTCTCTCTCCTCTCTCTCTCTCCTTCCATCCCTGTCTCCTTCCCTCCCTCTCTACCTCCCTCCCTCCCTCCCTTCCTTCCTTCCTTCCACCCTGGTAATGGACAGGACATAAGTGTATAGTGTGCTTCTTAGGCTAGGAGCCAGCATGTAATAACTTGTAGCCTATCTTATATATCTGTGTATATATGTGAAGTCCCCAGTAAGTATTCCCATTCTCCCAACCTTTAGCATTTGCCCATTTGCATTATTTAGTACTTTGTATATTATTAGTGTTCTTGTGCCAGAGTATAACCTAATAAAAGTTTCTAATTCTTATCTGTATTAATTTTCCTTACATGAGTAATAATAACTATTTTACCTCTTCATCCCTCTGCTTTCTAAGGATAAAATTAGCTTGTGGCCGGGCACAGTGGCGTGGGCCTGTAGTTCTAGCTACTACCGAGGCTGAGGCAAGAGGATCACTGGAAGTCAGAAGTTGGAGGTAGTGATGCACCCTGGTTGTACCTGT